CATCCTCCTCCTCTTCTTTCTCCTCCTCCTCCTCCTCCTCGTCCTCCTCCTCCTCGTTCTCCTCCTCATGCCCCCCCTCCTCATCCTCCTCCTCTTCCTCCCGCCCGCGGGCCGCGTGGCAGGCGCGAGCGGGCCCTGAGGAGCCTGGATTATTCACCCCAGGGACGCTCGCTCCTCCGCCTCCTCATTCTCCTCCTCCTCCTCCCTCCCTCCCTACCTCCTCCTCCTCCTCCTCCCTCCCTCCCTGTCCTCCTCCGCCGCCTCATCATCATCATCATCATCATCATCATCATCATCATCATCATCATCATCATCATCAGCATCATTATCATCAGCATCATCATCAACACCATCATCACCACCATCAGCATCATCATCATCAACATCAGCATCATCATCGTCATCATCATCAGCATCATCACCAGCATCATCACCATCAGCATCACCATCATCAGCATCATCAGCATCAGCATCAGCATCCTCATCTTCATCATCATCAACAGCATCATCACCAGCATCATCAGCATCATCAGCATCCGCATCAGAGTCAGCGTCAGCATCAGCATCAGCATCCTCCTCCTCCTCCCCCTCCCCCTCCCCCTCCTCCTCCTCGTCCTCCTCCTCCTCCTCCTCCTCCTCCTCCTCCTCCTCCTCCTCCCCTCCTCCTACTCATCCTCCTCCTCCTCGTCTTCCTCCCCACCCCCGTCCTTCTTCTCCTCCTCCTCTGTCTCTTCCTCCTCCTCCTCCTCCTCCTCCTCCTCCTTCCCTCCTCCTCCACATTTTATTGTTCTCCTCCTCCTCCTTCCTCCTCCTCCCGCATCCGCATCCGTATCCCCCTGCGTCTCCTCCTCCTCCTCCTCTTCCTCCTCCTCAATCCTCCCTCTCCTCTTCCTCCTCCTCCTCCTCCTCCTCCACCCCTCTCCTCTTCCTCCCCCTCATCTCCTCGTTCCCCTCATCCTCCTCCTCCTCCTCCTCCTCCTCATCTCTCCTCATCCTCCTCCTCATGAGTCTCCCTCCTCCTCCTCCCCTCCTCCTACATCCCCACATTCTCCTCATGTTCCTTCTACCTCCTCCTCCTCCTCCTTCTCCTCCTCCTCCTCCTCCTCCCTCCTCCTCGTCCTCCTCGCCTCATCCTCATTCCTCCCTCCTCATCGCGCTCTCATCCTCCTCCGCCTCCTCCTCCTCCTCATCCCTCTTCCTCATCCTCCTCAGTCTCCTTCTCCTCCTCCTCCGCCTCCTCCTCCTCATCTTCCTCCTCCTCCTGCTCCTCCTCCTCCTCCTCATCCTATCCTATCCTATCCGCCTCCTCCTCCTCCTCCTCCTCATCATCATCATCATCATCATCATCATCAGCATCAGCATCATCATCAGCATCATCATCATCCTCGTTCCTCCTCGTTTCGCGCCTCTTGTGTTCCTCATGTGTGTCCTCCTCCTCATCCTCCTCCTCCTCCTCCGTCGCCTCCTCCTCCCCCTCCCCCTCCTCCTCTTCATCCTCCTCATCCTCCTCGTCCTCCTCCTCCTCCTCCCTCCTCCTCCTCCTCTCTCTCCTCATCCTCCTCCTCCTCCTCCTCCTCCTCCTCCTCCTCCTCCTCCTCCTCTCCCGTCTCCCTCATCTTAAGTATCCTCCTCCTTCTCCTCCTCCTTCGTCTCCTCCTCCTCCTCCTCCTCCTCCTCCTCCTCTCCTTCTCTTCCTCCTCCTCATCCTCCTCCTCCTCCTCCTCCTTCTCATCCTCCTCCTCCTCCTTCTCCTCCTCCTCATCTTCCCCCTCACCCTCCTCCTTCTCCTCCTCCTCCTCGTTATCCTCCCCCCCTCCTCCTCTGTCTCCTCCTCCTCCTTCTCCTCCTCCTCCGCCGCCGCTTCCTTATCCTCCTCCTCTTCCTCCTCCTCCTCCTCCCCCTCCTCCTCCTCCTCCTCTCCTCCTCCTCCTCCTCTTCCTCCTCCTCCTCCTCTCCTCCTCCTCCTCCTCCTCCTCCTCCTCCTCCTCCTCCTCCGCCTCCTCCTCCTCCTCCTCCTCCTCCTCCTCTTCCTCCTCCTCCTCCCCACTCAAGCCACCTGGGCCCGAGACCCCATTTTGGAGCTTCCCAGAGGACCCAGACCTCGGTGTTTCCACGGAGCGCTTGGGGGGCACCGCAGCGACAATTGTCCTTGTAGAGTTGTTACCTTCGGCGGGCAAAGCCGAGAATGCCCAGACTTTTCTCGAAACGCGGAGGCTATGATACGTTCGAATACAAAGGCGTGCTTCTTCGATCCGATCGCAAATGTCGGGACTGCAGCAGACAGTACGACTGTTCGTTCCCAGGAGACCGATCGCGACGGTCCTCCCCAGCACCATGGCGGGTTCGGTTTGAAGATGATGGAGGGTGTCATGTGTGATCAAAGGGTTCAGGCACGTCGCCTGGGCCCAAGTCTATCTTGAGGACGTCGACATCCACAGCGACAGCTGGCCAGGACCTTGTCGCGTCTTTGAAGACGGTCATTGCACATACTACCGACCCACAGGTGAAGTCAGCGCTGGAGGCGCAGCTGGCCAAGGCCGAGGGGCCGCCCCCGCGGCCCGCTGCGTCGCCAGCGGACGAGGTCCGTCGCACCGACGCAGCCTGGCGGGACGCGGGGGCGAAACACGATCTGGCGGTCAAGGCGGTGCAGCGCTTGAGAGGCCAGCTCGACCAGGCGGAGGAGAAGGACCGCCAGGCTGCCAAGGTCCTGGCGCGCGCGACCATCGCGAAGTCGCAGGCCGCGCAGACCCTCGCCAAGGCGGAGGGGGCCATCATCACCGACAGCAGCATGGGCGACCTCGGCCAGAAGTTCTTCTTCCAGCTGTCCGGGGACACGGACCTGTTCGTGAACATGGATCAGCTCGAATGCGAGAAGAGCGAGAAGGACGCCTTGGCGCAACTGGAGAAGGACCTGGTTAGCACCAAGGATACGCTGAAATCTAAGGAGGAGGAGGTCCAAGCTCGGCTGCGCCGCGCGGCCGAGCTGAAGGCCTCAATTCAGGAATGTCCTGTCAAGACAAAGAGGAGCAACTGCGGTCAGGCTGTCCAGGGCGGAGGTGCTCAGGAGACCCCAGTCCTGCACCGACGACGGCTGGCCCCTCCACCCAGGAGGCCCAGCCATCAGCGAAGCAGAAGGCAGAACAGGTCGCAGAGGAGGCTGAGAGGGAGCGCCGCGTCGAGTCCGAGGCTGAGAAGCTCTCCAAGGTCAAGTTCGCGGCGACGCAGGCGAACCAGCAGATGACCAGCGGCAACGGCAAGAAGAGCAACTCCTCCAAGGGCTCGCAGGGCAAAAGCGTAGCAGCTCAGCCCAAGGCCTGACAGGACCTCAGGCCCTGCTCGTCGTCTTCGGCATCGGCCAGCACGACGGCGAGCGCAGTGGCCTCCACATCCTGGCAAACGTTATCTTCATCTTCGGGCTCGAGTCCGAGCCCGATTCCGCGGGGGCCCCCCGTCGAGCCCACTTCAGCTTGTCGGTTTTACGAGGGCGGCGGCGGCGCCCACAGTGTCACCCGCTTTGTTTTCGGCACCGTCACGCGCATGGGCGCCAAGATGTGGCAATTCGTGGCTGAACAGTATGCGACCACTCAGCACTTCGCCTTTGCCGAGGCCCACGTGCAGGGGCGATGCCAAGGCGCGCGGCAGCGAGGCGCGCAACCTAGGTCTCAAGCTCTTCTGCAACCCCGCCAGGCCGAGCAGCAAGCAGCACAAGGAGTTGTCTTCAGGGCGTGCCAACGAAGGGGGCGCATGGATTTTCGCTCATTGGCATATTCGATCGCGTTCCCTGGACGCAGCTACCGCGCCGCTGCTCATGCGCGACTCGGCCAGGGCTAACGACGGCCTTCGTGCGATGGCAGTCCACATGAAGGGCTACTCTTTCATCTTCATTACCTTCTACGGGCACGCGGGGATCGGCTTCGCTGGCCCCCGAATCAGTCACTGCCGTCGCCTGGGTGCGCTATCCCACGCGCTGCAGCTCCCCTGGATAGTTGTGGCCGACTTTAACATCAGCGCGGCGGCGGTCCGCAAGGTTGGTTCCGCTGAGCGCATCGTCGGGCGCATCCTCACGGCCGACGTGGAGTGCGCGTGTAATGCTGGAGTAAGGGGTTCCCACATCGACTTCGCGATGCGCAGCGCAGCGGCGTCATGCTTCATCGAGTCTGCGGAGGCGGAGTGGGCCTCGCCTTGGGCGACCCACATCGGCCTCCGCTTTCGCCTCCGCGGTCGAGGGCAGCAGCTGCCCGCGCGCGCGCTGCCCATCGCGGGCCGTCTCCCGCAGACGCCGGGGCCAGGGCATGGGCCGAACCCTAGTTCCAAATCGAGTCGCTCTCGTGCTGCGCGACTCCCGGCAGCCCCGGGACTAGCGGCGAAGCGCGAGGAGGTGCGCCCCATGCTCTTTGGGGACGTTCTTGAGACCATCGACCATCAGGAGAAGGGGGGGGGGGCCCAGAAGCAGCCCGAGGATTCGGAGTCCGAGCGCCCTGAGCCCTCGCCCGTTGCACCGGCGCGCCCAGGTCCGCTCCGCGATGACATTCCACTTTGCTCCGAGCAAGACCCCTGGGCAGATGGGCCCAATGTTTGCGCGGGCGAGGGTAGGCCCGCCCGCGGGGCCTCCTCCTCCTCCTCCTCCACCCCCCCTTTCTAGCAGCAATCCTCTGACGGCCAGTGCTGACGTTCAGATTTCGGCGGGAACTGGCGGCGGCGGCGCGACCCTGGGGCCTCCGCGGAAGCCCGGCGGATGCCCCGCGGGGTCGGCACCCGAGGCTGGGGGCCCTTGCGAGGGGCCACCAGGCAACCGCGACAGCACTGACCTTGCAATGGCGTCGGGATACCACGATCACCTACTGCTTGGGATCCGCCTGGCCCTACCTCTCGGGAATTCCCCGATTTGCATTTTACGGGCTTGAAAGCCATTGACGATGCCAGTGTTCAGGAGTTGTTCGACGAGCTCAAGGTCGCAGCCATGGCCCCGGCTTGGTCCAGAGCGTCTGATGGCATCGAAC